ACTGGGTAGTTCTTGAGCTTCATTATCAACAGCAGAGAAATAAAGGCTAACTCAAAAAGGGTCAAAGCAGTGACAAACATGCAACCACCTTCTAACACAAGGGAGGTCCAACGTTTAACAAGAAGGATAGCGGCCCTAAGTCATTTTGTCTCTAGATCAAGCGACAAGTGTTAGTTCTTCTTCCAGACCTTAAAAAAGGCATTTAAGTGGGATACGCACTGCGAGGAAAACATTCAAAACCCTTAAAGACTACCTGAGCTCACCCCTAGTACTAGTGAGCCATTTGAAAGGAGAAGTGTTCACCCTATACCTTGTTGTTTTGAATTTCTCAACCAGCACAGCACTGGTCAGAGAACAAAACAGAGCTCAACAACCAGGTTACTAATATAGCAGAACGCTGAGGGGAATATAGGAAAGATACCCGAAAATGGAGAAGCTAGTCTTAGCTCTAGTTACAGTAGGAAGGAAGCTCAAATCATACTTCCAAGCTCACACCACTGAGGTCCTAATAGATCAGCCAACGAAGCAGGTGCTGCATAAACCAGAATCTTCAGGAAGGCTAGTCAAATGGGCCATAGAACTCAGCAAGTTTGATATTAGGTACAAACCCAGAATTGCAATCAAGGGACAAATACTAACAGATTTTATTACAGAGTTTACTATAGTACCAGGCGCATCCATAGAGGCAAATCAACTAGTACTCGACTTCCCCACATGCAAAATTTCGGTAGATGGAGCTACCAACGCCCAAGGCAGTAGTGTTGGGTTGATTCTAACCTTCCCTGACAGGATAGATATTGAATATGCCATCAAGTTCAGATTCAAAGCTTCAAACAACAAAGCAGAATACGAAGTCGTCATTGCCGGACTCAATATGACACATTCCATGGAAGTAGAACAACACGTGATCTACAGCGACTCCCAGCTCGTGGTGAAGCAGATTGAGGAGACTTATGAAGCCAAAGGAAAAATAATGATTCTATACCTGAGGAAGGTACAGAAGCAAATGAAAAAATTCGTGCAAGTTAAGGCCATACACGTCCTTAGAGCTAAAAACTCCTGAGCTAATACCTTAGCAAGGCTTGCCACAACTTCCCAGAAAAACATGGATAGATTTGTCACACCCCCACCCCGGATCACATAAGGTGGGCGACGGACCGGCCACCGAGGCCTTAACCAACTAACCATGTGCATAATAAATGCAAAATACAGAGGAAGATAAATAATAAAGTGAGTCATTTCACCGATCTAATGGATACCAGAGAAATAAACTAAACATCACCAACATCATTATTAAACTCATGTAAAACAATAACTAAACCATAAAGTTCACTACTCTAAAGTCTAAATATAAGCAACATTAATCCCAAAAATAATTAAATATTTGTCTTAAAATCATATAAGACATTTATTTCTGAAGACCTACAATGAAATAAATTTTCAATCCTTCTAATCCTTTGTCTATTCGGGGACTTACTCCTCCCCTTGATCCTCAACTGAAAAATGTTAAATGTTTGGGTGAGCACAAAGGCCCGTGAATAGCAACTTACTCTAATGAGGTGTGAAAATAAATCCCACATTTTATATGCAAAATAAACTTTGTTACCTACATAAATGCAACAAATTGTACTCCAATCCCTTCCACATAATCATGTAAACAAAATGATTTCATGATCATAAATAACTTTATAAAAGAAAAAACATTTATAACTCAAACACCCACTTATTTTCACAAATAAATTTATAAATGAAAGACATTTATAATTCAAAACACTCACACACACACACACACATTCAGTTTTAAATGCATTTGTCAAATTTTGTTTGTTACCACTAACCTGGTAACTGGCCTCATTTCTTATCATCACTACCCTGATGACTGGCACCGTCTCTTATTATCACTAGCCTGATAACTGGCCCCTATGTGCACATCTCTATACCGACCACGCCGGTATACAATCTCGTTATCATTTAGAACTGGTAACTCAGTCCCCTTCTCATAAAACATGATTTCAACACACACTAAAACTGTTGTTTTAGTCCCAACGCACACAAAATTTTCCTTTCATCATCAAAGCAATGGTATAAAATCATCCCACAAGTTTTCTAAAATTCACCTGTATAACAATTTACAATTTCAAAACATTTAATTGCAACCCCAAACATCAACACATATATCATATATATGAAAAATCCACACGCACGCACCCACACATTTAATATAGAAAATTCTCCCAAAAGAAGTAGTAACTACTCACCTTGATTCTCAAAATCCAATTCAAAGCACTATTTTCCAACCTCAATTCAATCACAACCTAATTCAAAATAACATATAACAATCAATCTCTAGTCCTAGTTTCGTTCTTTCGCGATTCTATATTTAATTTTTATACTTACTACATATTAATATGTACTTAATATATATTTTAAATATAAATATCCTTTCTAATACGAGTTAATAGGGTATGAAATTATTCTGGACTGTTTAAATTTTTTTTTTTTAAAGTTTTGAGGTCAAATCATAATTTTTGAAACTTTTGAGGCCAAAGTATAATTTTCTTAAAAAACCAATTTTTTGTTTCTGGGCATGCCATAAATTTTTCAGAATTCTGAGAACTGTAAAGAACAGTCCAAACCCTTTTCTTTCTTTCTTTTTTCTTCCTATTAAACTCAATCAAATCCCAAATAACTATACACCCAAATTCAACTTAATATCTTCAAAATTATTTGTGTATTATATATATGACATCCAATACCATGTGATATAATAAAATACAAAACTCACAAAATAAATAATACATCCATATACCTTCAATGGATCCGATTGTCCCTTTTCTTTTTCTTTTTTCCCTTCTCTCTCTCTCTCCCTTTCCCTCTCTCATATTTGTTTTTTTTTCTTTGTTCACCGGACAGGCTTTCCACAAGTATTCTCACCAAAATACCCTACAAACCTAAATATATTTTTATATATATAAAGAGTTTGACCTATCCAACAAGACTATCCTATTTAAACCACATGTATAAGAGTCCTAATAGGTCTCTCTAGGATAAGACTTTTATTAGAGATATACTAGTCTTCTTTAATTATTTTATATCCGTATATATATATATATATATACCATCCTTATTCGCTTCGCTGCTATGCTATGCTTCTGTTATGAAATTGGAACGCGACTTCAAGGTATTTTCTCTTTTTTGTTGTAGATGATTCTCTTATCACCCTAAGCCTTACCTTGGGTATTTATATTGATTAATGTGTGATAGGCAGCGCATTTCTTTTCCTATCTACCCTTCCCCATCATTAGCTTACGAGTTGGGAAGCAATGGCTCACACGACCAATCGTATAATATAACTTAGATGGGACAGGCAGTGGGTTCTAAATTTCTAGGTGTGATAGATATTTATCTACAGAAGTATTCCCATACGGGCTATGCGGGGAGGAATATTTTTTTCCCCCTTATTATGGCCATCTTTAGGGGGGAAAAATATTCCTCCCCGCATAGCCCATATGGGAATACTTCTGTAGATAAATATCTATCACACCTAGAAATTTAGAACCCACAGCCTGTCCCATCTAAGTTATATTATACGATTGGTCGTGTGAGCCATTGCTTCCCAACTCGTAAGCTAATGATGGGGAAGGGTAGATAGGAAAAGAAATACGCTGCCTATCACACATTAATCAATATAAATACCCAGGGTAAGGCTTAGGGTGATAAGAGAATCATCTACAACAAAAAGAGAAAATACCTTGAAGTCGCATTCCAATTTCATAACAGAAGCATAGCATAGCAGCGAAGCGAATAAGGATGGCATCGAACGCTCAAACGAGATAAGGATGGCATCGAACGCTCAAACGAGAGAAGCATAATAAGGATGACATCGAACGCTCAAACGAGAGAAGCATTGCAGCGAAGCGAATAAGGATGGCATCGAACGCTCAAACGAGAGAAGCATTGCAGCGAACGATAAATAAGGATCCAAAAGATAGTCAATCTTATAGAACCCAAATATCATCTGATAGAATAGATAAGAATGGAATCAACTCTTTTTAAGGATCCCCATCATGGCATCTTTCGTATGCTAGTCAACAAATTAGCTAAAGAAGCATTGCAGCGAACACTAATGTCATCGAACGTAACTCAAAGGATGACAGCGAACGAAACTCAAAGGTATGTTCCCATATAAGTTGCTATGTGAGCAAAGTGACATACAAACTCAAAGAAATACTAAATGAAAATATAACCATGTTAACGTTTCTCCAGCAAATGACGAAATCAGCTCTGTTTAGAAACCACAAAATGCTTAAGAATACCGAGGGAGATCAGAATCAAGAGGGTATCACACGTAAAATAGCAATTGATAAGGCGGTTGAGAGATTCCATTGGTATCCTATGAAACGATTCAACAATCAAAGCATGAATAAAGAGACTTGGTGTTTACAAAAAGTACAGAGAGCGTTCCAGGGAAGTACGCCATAAGGGCTTCTTGAATTAGTCAAGAGGAATTATTCTCGCTTATTTGTACTAACAGGACAAGGAAAGCTTAGTAGTAGAGTTGAGGATAGGGACTTCAGAGTCAAACCTGTGAAAATCGTGCCAGTGTATACATATCAAAAGTGTATACATAAATTCTTACAAAAGCGCAGGTCAGATCTTGATAAAACAATAGAGCTACGAAATCAAAAAGCTCACCAAAGCATTAACTAGGGTTTCTCAAATTTCATATGGATGGGGTACGAATACGAGGCGATTAGGCACTACATTGATGTTCTCACAGCTAACACAGCTGCCATGAATCAAGCTATCTCCAGTATCTCACTGCCTGAGACCCGAAGTAAGTAGCCACAAGGGAATCGCGAAGGATTCAATCCAATCAAAGGTTTCCTCCGCCCCTTGACTACCTTATGAGACCACAGTGGGGAAAGCTCATCTATCAATCTAGACCGAAAGCATTCTCACAACATTGTGTGTGTGATAGGGTTATAAAATGCACTCAACTATATCATCAAATCTTCTACTGGTATCTTCAATGCTTCTTCGCAACCCAAGGTTAATGCTAAAAAGGCAACAAAGAGTACCGCAATAGTATGCTTTCTGTTTAGACCTTTATTGATATCCAGGGGATCGAAGGTTATTCTTTCTAAGTATTCTTTTGATTCCGAGTTTACCAGGTCAGTCAGGGGAATACCCCCTATAGTACCATTCTCATCAGGTTCACCTTTTTCTAATACGGTAGATATTCCCATTACCTTTATCCATATCTTGATCCATTTATGATCAAGGCAGGATTCAGGCACCTGTTCAATTACAAACTCAGGCAATGCAGTCCACCAAATTATGAATCCAATTCCTAATGGAAAACATACTTGAAAGGTCGATTCCCTAAATCTGGCAACAGATTTTTCAAGAAAGACATCCGCCGCGTCAAAGAAGATGTCATCTTGTTTCGATGGATAAGGTTGTATTCGAGTGCTATCTTTAGTGATGTCCAGTAATCCCACTTCTGGCACTCTTTTGATCACCTGGATGGCTTTTCCTTTCCCACTTTCTTTGTAGTCAATTTTTTTCACCAATGGCCAGCTTGTTCCTATCAAAGTTTTCCACCTTTGGAAAGGATGCTGGTCTCCTCGAGGAGATGTATTCTCATCATAGGAACCAACTTCCTTGCTTCTTTTCATTGAAATGTTCTTTTTTTCAGAAACCTTCTTCATTCTTAGATGAAATAGAAGGATCTTTCCTTGACTTGAAGTAGGTATCGTTGTCATTTTGGATTGAGGCTGAGCACTACCTTTACCTTCTTGGGGTTTAGGTTGATACTCATATTTATCAACAATGACACCTTTAGCTACTTTTGCTAGTTTAGCAACAACTGACAACATGTTAACTATTCAATAATTCAATTCTTATTCCCGCTGCTCTTTTTTAGGTAGCAGCAAGAATTTGAGCAAAGACTATATGAAATGGACCTGGTGTTTTGAACCAGGAAAGACATGGGAGTTGTTAAGCATGAATTGACACATATGTTACCATTTGCAGATGAGAAAGCGTCTTCTCACTAGATTGAATAGGGCAAACAACACAACAATAAGGGAGTCTCTAATGCAAGATACGTGAAACGTTACTAAGAGACAAAAATCCATACTCTCTTCTGGCTAGGTTTAAGTTGTGGAGGTTTCCAGGTCGTAGTGAGGGGGAAGGTAATCATAGCTATTTATTTGACTTATAGGACAGCCTAACCTAAAAGTGTATGTCTAATCTAAGATCTTTTCCTTCACTTTGATTTTGCCGTCTTGGCTGACACAAACTAGACCGCCATAACAAGGCACAGGTGCGTCTCCCGGTCCAATAGAAAGGATTTTACCAGCCAAATGGAGTTGGTCCAATAAGCTAAGTACTTGTTGTTCGTTGAAGAACGACAATTGCATTGCCTCGCTTTCCAAGGTCTTTCCTTGCTTACTTGAACAAGTATTAGATGTGCTTATCTTGGGGCAAGAAATCAAAACTTCATGTATATACCTACTATAGTCTACCCCAGGAAATGCACGCTGAAACTCCTTATCGAACTCGGTTAAGGCAAAATTGAGTAGTACATGTGTTAGAAGTCCCACGGTTGGGATACTACATCCCATCTCGGCAGTGAAGTCTCTTCCACTTTGATCCAAGATTGGCACGGACAGGAATTTGTCGACGAATTCAATAATAGCCCCATCCTTCACTATATGTGACAGGTTCAACAAAAGACTCTCTCGATTTATTGTCCTCAGGGAGATTGTTAGGTCGCATTTATAAAGCCTTAAGACCTTGCCTCTCGCGCATACTGTACTATAAAATGCATTTGGTTTTGTTCGCAAACCAAAGGATTTATCAGTGAAAAGGTTTACCCTGAGAAAATGAAGGTTTAACATACGCCTGAGCGCCGTTAGCACAAGGCTGTCTTCTAGTGTAGGATTGATGCCCAAATAGAGATTTGACTCATCCTTGGCTGGAAAGGTGTGGAAGAACCCAGGCTTTTGGTCTCCCTTTCTGGCGAAGGCGCGAAGGAGAAGCGGCGACAGGGTGTATGTTCCATCCTTTACGCTTTTCTGAATTTCTCTTACCTTTTGTTCTGTCAATTCCACAAAAACATCCGGTAATTCATTGTATGTCATCCCGATAGCGTACGCAAGCCGATGCAACGAACAAAATGGATGAATCTCATCTTTGTAGCTACTCAAATATCTACTCCTAGCCTTGTGAAAAGTAAGAAACATATCATTCTTCATTTTTGAACTCATGATTACTCTTTATTCTTTAAACCTTCCCTCCATAAATTGTAGGCATAGTTCTGTTCCGCCGACGGTTATATAGGATACAATGCTCAATAGAAAAACTGCGAGGCAGGAAATCACTAGTTTCCGTAGTACTAGTTTGTGGGTTTCCTCTCTTGCTCTTATTCCCAAGGGGTCGAAGGTTCCCGTCTCGTTCGACTCTGCGCTGGTACCACACCCCGAGGTGCTGGCCCCACCTGTTTTGAGTGTGCTCCCGGCGGCATGCATGAGACTATGACTTAGATCCTCGCACAGTTCTTCGGCGAGCTTGATCGTCTGGGGGGGACCATTCTCGTGTGCTATCCTTGAAGGATTTGTAAAAATCTGGGCTTAGGATGAAATGGAAATCATAATTCCCAATGGTCAGCATAAGGCTTGGCATTAAAGAGTACCAAATTTGAAACCCCAAGCAGATAGCTTGATTCATGGCAGCTGTGTTAGCTGTGAGAACATCAATGTAGTGCCTAATCGCCTCGTATTCGTACCCCCTCCATATGAAATTTGAGAAACCCTAGTTAATGCTTTGGTGAGCTTTTTGATTTCGTAGCTCTATTGTTTTATCAAGATCTGACCTGCGCTTTTGTAAGAATTTATGTATACACTTTTGATATGTATACACTGGCACGATTTTCACAGGTTTGACTCTGAAGTCCCTATCCTCAACTCTACTACTAAGCTTTCCTTGTCCTGTTAGTACAAATAAGCGAGAATAATTCCTCTTGACTAATTCAAGAAGCCCTTCTGGCGTACTTCCCTGGAACGCTCTCTGTACTTTTTGTAAACACCAAGTCTCTTTATTCATGCTTTGATTGTTGAATCGTTTCATAGGATACCAATGGAATCTCTCAACCGCCTTATCAATTGCTATTTTACGTGTGATACCCTCTTGATTCTGATCTCCCTCGGTATTCTTAAGCATTTCGTGGTTTCTAAACAGAGCTGATTTCGTCATTTGCTGGAGAAACGTTAACATGGTTATATTTTCATTTAGTATTTCTTTGAGTTTGTATGTCACTTTGCTCACATAGCAACTTATATGGGAACATACCTTTGAGTTTCGTTCGATGTCATCCTTTGAGTTACGTTCGATGACATTAGTGTTCGCTGCAATGCTTCTTTAGCTAATTTGTTGACTAGCATGCGAAAGATGCCAGGATGGGGATCCTTAAAAAGAGTTGATTCCATTCTTATCTATTCTATCAGATGATATTTGGGTTCTATAAGATTGACTATCTTTTGGATCCTTATTTATCGTTCGCTGCAATGCTTCTCTCGTTTGAGCGTTCGATGCCATCCTTATTCGCTTCGCTGCAATGCTTCTCTCATTTGAGCGTTCGATGCCATCCTTATTAGCTTCTCTCGTTTGAGTGTTCGATGCCATCCTTATCTCGTTTGAGCGTTCGATGCCATCCTTATTCGCTTCGCTGCTATGCTATGCTTCTGTTATGAAATTGGAACGCGACTTCAAGGTATTTTCTCCTTTTTGTTGTAGATGATTCTCTTATCACCCTAAGCCTTACCCTGGGTATTTATATTGATTAATGTGTGATAGGCAGCGTATTTCTTTTCCTATCTACCCTTCCCCATCATTAGCTTACGAGTTGGGAAGCAATGGCTCACACGACCAATCGTATAATATAACTTAGATGGGACAGGCTGTGGGTTCTAAATTTCTAGGTGTGATAGATATTTATCTACAGAAGTATTCCCACACACACACACACACACACACACACACACACACACACATATATATATATATATATATAATTACTCCTAGGTAATCAATGCACCAAAATAATATAATATTTTTTTAATGGGTAATTACATTCTCCCCTACTTAAGAGAATTTTGTCCTCGAAATTTATATACCTTGTGAGAACAAATGAGGATATTAAGTTTCCATCCTTTTATCTACTTCACAAGTAACTTCCTCGCTTAAGTAACTCTTCTACAATACCTTGACTAATGGAATTCTCTTGTTACCCAATATTAATTGACTCCTCAACGTAATTAAGAGTTTCCTTAAGTTCAATAGACTATTCCCACCAATATACATGGAGAATTAGGTATATATACTTCATGAGTATAACAACACAAAGTATGTTGTGACAACGGAACATCTTTTCTAAATAACTTCGTCAATTAATCAATAATAACCCAAAATAGATTCATGCCCAATCTATATCCTGAAAGTCATTATAAAAATTTCATAATAATATACTCTCATTTTCATTCAAAAATTGAAAGAAGTTGTAATAAACCTATAAGATACTGATATTCAGTATTTATCTGTCAGTGCATTACACATTGGCTACAAATTCAACAATCTCTTTTTCCACTCAACCGATGATAAATTCTCAATATGAATATAATTTTGTACTCCTTGGATAAACATAGAATTATAGGTTGTATATATAATGTCTCTCTTCAACGTATTCTCTTTGGTACCCATAACTCATGTCAAAATATAAACATAACCTCAGCACAAGTTATAAAATATATTCTGCTATCATGTTACACCTCTTTTCAAATACTCTGCACATGTGTACTTTTTTTTTTTTTGGTGCTAGTTGATACAATTTATCAATAAGAGTCTAACTTGTAATTAAGCTAATAATATATCTATATCAGTCAACATCACATGTATTTTTATCAATCTCAAATCAGTAAAATTACTCATTCGGGTATACTCAATACAATACAACACAAACTTCTTGATGATTTCTTGTTTAGTGTATGAACCATGACAGTAGTTTTGCCTACATGATAATGATAGAATAATCATCGTCCCTAGACTTTTCATCCATCTCCTTTTTCTCAAATTAAACTTCATCTCAATAAATAAATCTTTCAACCTTTGGTAATCGAAATAAATCCCACATGTCTTACTGTATAAACAATCTATCCATAAACTTCAAAGCAAAAAAAAAAAAAACTTACATCTAACTCAAAATCATGAGTAGGGTAATTCTTTCCTTACTACTAGAATACACAAGTGCAACACTAACTAATATAGTAACAAATGAATTTAGGTAAGGTTAAGATACCCAATTTAGTCAATCCATAAAAACAGATGTAGGATTTGTCAACCTCAATGACTTCTCAAAAATACAATATAATTATCACAGTTCAACAAATAATTTTTAAAACACCACCACTTCTTTCTTTTGCCTTGAGTAAATAATTCTAACATCAATCTTATTAAATATTCTAACCCTTCACAACTAATCAAATAAATCTTCAATACCACATAAAAGATATTTACTATTTGCTGCTGCCTTATTCGACTAGTAGTAATCGACGTACCATTTCACAACCCAATCATTTTCTTTACAAACATAACATGAGCACCCCCACAACATATTGCTAAGTTGAATAAATCTTCAGTCTAATATATTTTCAATTGATTTCTCATTCCACTAGTTTAGCGAGAACCATCCGATATGGAGTAATAAATATAAGTATAGTACCTTAGGGCCACTAAAAATGTAAACTTTATATATCTCCAATGGTAACATAGACAACTTCTCTCAAAATATATTTGAAAATTTACTTTCTATTGGTATCTCCTCAAGAGACACTCCCTCGTTTTGTGCAACAATGATACTAGCAATATTTTCCTAAAAATCTTTCCTTACCCCATTTTCGAGCTTGCACTCGCAGAGTTAATACTAGGAATTAAATAAATCATGTTCCCTCAAAACTAAATTTGCATGACTTTCTTTTCAAAACAACCAATTGTCGCATATTGTGTGACTAACCAACCTATAATTAATATCACACCAAAATCCCTAAGGTCTAAGAAACTCAATAAGCTAGCAACTGTTGTTCTCCAATATAGAACCTACACCTTGAGTACACGATATCTCCTCACTCAAAACCACCCATTGAAGTTGCCACAATCAAATCAAACTTAAGTGTTTTGGGTTCCACACCCAATCACACTACTACTCTCGGAGACATAGAAGAATATATAGGCCCTAAAATTCCATTAGTGTTAGTCACATTTCTTATAACACCTTTACTATTCCATTTTGCTACTATCTCTTGATGGTACAAAATACCAAACAAATTAACTTGTCTTAGTCACTATACAAATCATTCTATTAACTATTAACATTATTCTACATCCCTCGAACTAAAATCGATTAAAGTCTCCATAACCATTTAAATCCAGCCTAATCCTCTAGTAATTCATAAACCTATGCTCTGATACCACTTTTGTCACACCCCTACCCTGGATCACATAAGGTGGGCAGCGAACCGGCCACCAAGGTCTTAACCAACTAGTCATGTGCATAATAAATGCAAAATACAGCGGAAGATAAATAATAAAGTGATCCATTTCACCGATCTAATGAATACCAGAGGAATAAACTAAACATCACCAACATCATATTAAACTCATGTAAAACAATAATTAAACCATAAGGTTCACTACTCTAAATTCTAAACATGAGCAACATTAATCCCAAAAATAATTAAATATTTGTCTCAAATCATATAAGACATTTATTTCTGAAGATCTACAATGAAATAAATCTTTAATCCTTCTAATCCTTTGTCTATCCGGGGACTTACTCCTCCTCCTGATCCTCACCTGAAAAATATTAAATGTTTGGGTGAGCACAAAGGCCCGTGAATAGCAACCCCCTTTAATGAGGTGTGAAAATAAATCTCACATTTTATATGCAAAAATAAACTTTGTTACCTACATAAGTACAACAAATTGTACCACAATCTCTTCCACATAATCATGTAAACAAAATGATCTCATGATCATAAATAACTTTATAAAAGAAAAAATATTTATGACTCAAACACTCACTCATTTTCACAAATAACTTAATAAATGAAAGACATTTATAACTCAAAACACTCACACACACACACACACATTCAGTTTCAAATACATTTGTCAAATCATGTTTGTTACCACTAACCTGGTAACTAGTTCTATCTCTTATCATCACTAGCCTAATGATTGGCCCTAGTTTTTATTATCACTAGCCTGATAATTGGCCCCTATGTGAACATCCCTATACCGACCGCGCCGGTATACAATCTCGTTACCATTTAGACCTGGTAACCCAGATCCCTTCTCATAAAGCATGATTTCAACACACACTAAAACTGTTGTTTTAGTCCCAATGCACACAAAATTTTTCTTTCATCATCAAAGCAATGGTATAAAATCATCTCACAAATTTTCTAAAATTCACCTGTATAACAATTTACAATTTCAAAACATTTAATTGCAACTCCAAACATCAACACATATATCACATATATGAAAAATCCACACGCACGCACCCACACATTTAATATAGAAAATCCTCCCAAAAGAAGTAGTAACTACTCACCTTGATTCTCAAAATCCAATTCAAAAAAATATTTTTCAACCTCAATTCAATTACAACCTAATTCAAAATAACATATAACAATTAATCCATATTCCTAGTTTCGTCATTTCGAGATTCTATATTTAATTTTTTTTACTTTCTACCTATTGATATATATTTAATATATATTTTAAATATAAATATCCTTTCTAATACGATTTAATAGGGTATGGAAGTATTTTGGACTATTTAGGAAAAAGTTTCTAAAATTTTGGGATCAAATCATAATTTTTCAAACTTTTGGGGCCAAAATGTAATTTTCTTGAATAACCAATTTTCTGTTTTTGGGCTTGCCATAAATTTTTCAGAATTTTGTTCTTGCAACTTATCAAGTAAAAAGGTACTTAAAATTAAGTGTAGAAGAATAAAGGGGTCAAAATAAAATTTTTTAAAACTAAAAGGGTAGATGGCATAATTCTTTGACTTATCTTCTTCAACCTACTACCCTTCCATGTTCTGCAACTGTAAAGAACAGTCTAAACCCTTTTCTTTCTTTTTTTTTTCTTCCTATTAAACTCAATCAAATCCCAAATAACTATACACCCAA